CCTCCTGGACTCCTCCCTAGGGAGGTGCTTCAGGCTTGTACAACTGGGGGCGAGGCCCTGAGGAAGACCCAGGACACGCTGGAGAGACTATGTCTCTCAGCTGGTCTGGGAACCCCTTGGAGTCCTCCCAGAAGAGCTGAAAGAGGTGGCTGGGGAAAGAGAGGTCTGGGCTTCCCTGCTCAAGCTGCTGCCCCGTGATCCGACTTCAGATAAAGTCGAAGAAGATGATAGACAGATGGACGGAYCGACGGACGGTTTGCTGCTGAAAAACAACCTGGTTTCTGCTGCTGGGGAACAAAAACTGACAACATGAAGCTTGTTCTGTGCAGAGGTCCAGAACAGAGTTCAGGTCAGAACCTCACACCTTCAGGTTTTATTAAAGTAATAAAAACATCTCAGGTTGGCTCACCTTCGACATAGGGTCCATCTTTAGGGTGCTCCCGGACCCTCAGGTTGTTGGTGTGGGAGGACTTCCTCCTCAGCAGGTCTCTCACCCTCTCGTTGTAGATCTCCAGGTAGCTGAAAGCAGACTCGGGTTTATCAGGTGGTTCTGGAACCATGTGGCTGATCGGGTCGAATTGCAGGTGGGCGGAGCAGAAYTCACCTGACTTCAGTCCTGAAGGAAGCTTCGTCCCATCGAGTGGCCTCAGAGACCCGACTGAACAGACCCTCACAGATCCTGGGGATCAGACCCGCCTCTCCCTGAAAACAGAGGAGCGTCAGAGTCCAGTCTGGATCAGAGAGTTGCCGTTTATTAGTGTCAGAAAGACACGGTTCTGATGGACTTGGGACGGTTTTGATGGACTCGGGACGGTTCTGATGGACTCGGGACGGTTCTGACGGACTCGGGACGGTTCTGACGGACTCGGGACGGTTCTGACGGACTCGGGACGGTTCTGACGGACTCTGAGGAACACCGTATCAGGTCTGTGTTTGGACTGAGGTGAAGATAAAGTTTAACCCATGAAAACTGTTTTCTCTCAAATTTCCCTGCAACTGCCTGATAACACCTCTTTTTACTTGTTCATCAGTGGAAACACACACACACACACACACACACACACACACACACACA